CCCTCCTTTTCCCCCCCCCCCCCCCCGCCCCCCCTTCCTCCAGGCATCCGACACACCCGGGAGAGTCTGATTCTGAAGATTCTTCAGACGCAGGTTTCTCTGCATTACATTTAGTGACGTATTCCCTTTAAAGCGGATCTCCGAGCTCAAGAGACTTTCAGAATGGGTCGGCTGTACCAATTATACATCCACGGACAGCAATGATTCCATTATTCTGGCGAGTGATGTCAATGGAGGAGCGTGGAGTCTGCAAATCAACCTTTTTATTCTTAAGTCCTTGTTTAAAGGTCTGCTGCAACCAAATGGTGACCGGTTTTTGTATTTGTTGACTCAAGGAAGTCCATGGAGAAATCACAAACATCCAATAAGCAAGATTCAAAGCGGGGCACCGATTATAAAACTCACCCCTCCAGTCTGCCTGAGCATCACTAATGTGCTAACTGACATATCAATATGGAGGTCACACATAGGGTTGCCACCTGTCCCAGATACACCTGGACTGTCCAGGTTTTGAGTCCTGTATATGCTGTTTCCGGGTTTCAGGCCAGCCGAAACTCAGACACAGCACATACAGGACTCAAAAACCCGGACTGTCCAGGTGAATCTGGGACAGGTGGCAGCCCTAGTCACACCACTTCCTAATTTTCAATCTTTCAAAAACTGTTCAATATTTCCTACCCCCCCCCATGCTCCCTCCCCCAATTATTACATAGATATCCTTCCCCTCTCCCATGTCAGGGTCCTAGGTGTAATCCTGGACTCTGACTTATCCTTTCAGTCCCCCACATCCAATCACTATCTAAATCTTAAAACCTTCACCTCTATAACATTTCCAAAATATGACCCCATTTAACAAGGGACACCAACAAGACACCTTGTGATCACTTGCCTCGACTACTGCACCTCCCTCCTTGCTGGATTACCTTTACACCGGCTATCCCCCTTCAGCCAATCATAAATGCTGCTTCCAGACTCATCCACCTAACCAACCGATTGGTCGCCACCATCACTACTCTCTGCTGGCTTCCCTTCCCCGCCCCTCTCTGCCAATCCCTCCAACAAAACACAATTCTAATCACCAATAACATACAAAACCATCCACAACTCTGCCCCCCGCTACTTCACCAACCTGGTCTCAAAGTATCACCCTAACCGTCCTCTTCGCTCCTCCCAAGACCTCCTGCTCTCTCGCTCCCTCATCACTTCCTCCAATGATCCCCTCCAAGACCTCTCCATACCCCGGAACTCCCAACCCCAACCCATCCAGCTATCTCCTACTCTGTCCACCTTCAGGTGATCCCTGAAAACCCATCACTTCAGAAAATACTTTACTGCCTCTGCCTAATAACTGAACTTTTACCATCTCCATGAACTTAATCCCTCACAGTTATTACCTTCCGTGTCACTTGCCCCTACTTTTAGATTGTAAGCTCTCATGATCAGGGCCCTCCTTACCATCTTGATTTGTATTGTAATTGTACCGCCTCCCTCTATATTGTGAATCGCTGCACAAACTGTTGGCACAATATAAATCCTTCATCATAATGACTGCAACTGAACTGCAAAGTAGCTTAATCATATATGAAAGTAATATCAGGGGGATTCCACATCTCATTTACACCTCCCCTTCCTCCAATGCTAAACCCCATCCATGCTGCTTGATGTCCACAGTGGCCACAGACAACTAACATACCCCAACAATAGGTAGGCTCTCCCTCTGGCGCTCTGAGTGGGGCAGGTGTAAATTAACCAAATTTGCTTACCGCAGATAGGCTTTAGGCTTGTATCCCATGGCCAGAGCTTTCTCCTCAGACATGAGCAGCACAGCCGAGGCCCCGTCCGTCTGGAAAGAAAAGGGACACTCAAAACACCCCAATATTGGATGTAAAACCTTTCACAATACAAATTGTCTTCATTTATGGCCATATGAGCTCGTTAGATATACTATTCTAAAGCCAGGTGATAAAAATCCAGCACATAGGCAAGCAATTTCATTCACACATTAACATACAAAGACATTTTAGATCAGGGGTGCCCACAAATTTTCATCTGGAGATCTACTTTTCAAATGATGGGCTCAATGAGATCTACCAATGAAAAAACACCTGCGTTCAGGGGCATGGTGGTGCATTGAAGTCAATGGCACGGCAGCCACGCCGCCTGCAGAGCGATCGCACGCACCCAGAACACAGGCATATTAGTGCCTGCATTCCGGTCTAGTGCGATCTGCAAAAACGCTGCAAGCCGGCTTGTGTTTCTGTGCGTTCTAGAGGCCGACCACTCTGGAACGCAGACTTTGTGGTGCGAACTGGCCCTCTCTCTCGGTCGTCTCTTCTCTCTACTCGCTCTCTCCCCTGTTTCTACCTGCTATCTCTATGTGCCGACGTTGCACACAGGGAGAGGTGTCCCGCCCCTTCCCGTCTGAAACATTCAGCCGCACTAGCACCGCGGGAGGGAGCTCAGGTCAGTGAGCTGATTGCGATCTACCAGTGTTTGCTTTGCGATCTACCTAATGGGCACCCCTGTTTTAGACAATTGTGCTCTTCAAACCTATTGCTGTTCCCCCCATGACTGTCCCCTGTGTACAAAGCCAGCTCCATAAAGACACGGTGTGACCAGTTTGGTAGAGGAACTCCAGTGTCCTGCACAGAGCCCCGACCTCAACCCGACTGAACACCTTTGGGGTAGATTTGTAACCCCAATTCTGAGTAAGATCTTCTCATCCAGCATCAGGACCTGACCTCACAAATGCAATGAGAAGAGTTTTTCGGCATTCTAACATCACAGTGGAGTGCTAGTGACTCTTCTCATTGATTTTAAGTGCAGCGCCATCCACATGTCACTGCAGCACCCCCTATAAAAGTTTGATCCACCAGTCAGGAGTGCGATGGGACATGTAAAATTGTTTGACCTCACAAATGAACACAAATTGCCCCCAGACTCACTTTCCTTTCCAGAAGAGTGGAGGCAGTTATAGCCACACAGTAGGCCAACTCCAAATAAATGGTCACGGTTCTGAATGTGGAAGTCCAACAAGTTCATGCAAGTGTGATGGCCAACTGTCCACAAGCTTTCCACTTATCTATTCCTAAGTCTCCATGCATTCCCTCTAGTCACTACCTCTCACAACTTCTCTTGTGCTTATCCCTTTTTTTTCCCCTGGAACTCTCTTCCATTAGTTTTTACACAAGGCTTGTAATCCTGGCCCTCTGCACATCTTTAAGGCAGAATTATTCATTCCATTTCATGAACTTGCTTAATGCAGTTTTTATTTTTAGACTTTACACCCCAACTTTGTACTGCCCTCTGGAAAGAGCTGCTGCAAAATAAAAATGTACAAAATCCATTACAGTGCCCCCAACACAAAGAATCTGTATCATTAGGTTGCAAAAAAAAAAAAAAAGAAGAGCTGCTGCCCGACTCGTTTAATACTTTTTCCGGGGTGCTGACTACTCTGAAGCCTCAGAACGACCATGCCTAACATACATCCTACTGACACAGGTCTTCTGTTCCCTTAAATCATTGGAACAGAACATAGACAAAAGATAGACAAAAGTAGTCACTCGCACTCCATCATATTAAAGTCTATTGACTGAGATAACACACATCTCCTTAGCGACGTTTTGAGACCATGCGGTCCCGTCCCCCGAGCGTATGGTCACGAAACGTCGCTAAGGAGATGTGTGTTATCTCAGTCAATAGACTTTAATATGATGGAGTGCGAGTGACTACTTTCATCTATCTACATTTCACGGAGGCATCCGTTGTCACCACCGCACCCACCCACCCAGTTGGATTTGGGTTTTTGTCCAGTCAGGAGTGAGATGGGACAGGAGGAGGATTACGTTTCAGCTTATAAAGAACCGCTCTCTCCATCGAATTGTACAACGTTGTAGGAGTGTTTACCAGGAAGGAGGAGTTGGCGGCAGTCACCGTCCCGTATGGTTTGACAAAAGCCGGTTTCAGCTTTCCCATTTGCTCCATAGAGGTGGGCCGGATTCCATTGTCTTTTTCCACCGTATCTTTGCCTGTAATGAGAGAAGGGAAAGTTCCGATTGGTGGTTCTCTGGATCAGCTCTACACTAAACTGGTGCTTTTGGTCCACATGCATGGACTCCTTTCCGGCTATCAGTGGTTTAAGAATGTACACTGAACCAGTTGTTTCACTTCTTTACATAATCCTGCAGCTGAATAACTCGGGACACATTTCATGGCTCCTTTCTCTGGGATAAAATGTTATAACGTAGATGCCGTTACTAGAATGTGAAAGCTCAGCTCCGGAATTATTGTGAAACAATAACCTTGCAGAGGGGCACGCCTGCCTTGCAAGGGTTAAATGAATGAGGTGCAATACTTACCTTGTTCCTCACTTCGGTACTCTGCTCTCTCGGACACCCCTGGTTGAGGGGAGGGCCCTCGCCATCCTCACGTACAACACAGGACTGCACTAGGACAGTTGCAGTGAGAATGTGACCTCAGAATGTGAGTGCAGAAGAGAAAAGACCTCAGGGGAACGGTCATGCAGCATGGAGGAAGGAAGCCTGCCGGAGTGAGGAATAGCGGACGCATTACCGCCTATTCCTCAACCCCTAAAGCAGGGGTAGGCAACCTCAGCAATCCAGTTGTGATGCAACTACAAGTCCCATGATGCACTGCAAGACTGGCAGCCACAGGCATCACTCTCAGAGGCACGAGAGGATTTGAAGACTCCCCAAAGCTGGAGCGCCGAGGTTGCCTACCCCTGCCCAAGATCATTTCCCAGAGTTGAGCTTTAAAGTATTAAAGTGACATGAAACCCTCAGATTTTTTTAACAAAATACTGTAATGTGCGCCTTACTGTAATCCATGGTTGTTCCCCTTCTCTTTGCTGCTCTTCCTTTTAAATCCTCATCTCTTCTCATGCTGGGCAGAACTTCTGTTTTGCAGCAGACTGCCTTGTCTCTGGAATGAATACACGGTGTCTGTGTGAAGGTTCACAACCTGAGCCAGCACTACAGGAAGAGGAACTCAGCTGCAAAGGGAAGTTCTCCCCAGCATGAGAAGAGATACAGATTTAAAAAGGAAGAGCAGCAAAGAGAAGGGAAATAACCATGGATTACAGTAAGGCGCACATTACAGTATTGGTTTATGTTACAAAATCTGAGGGTTTAATGTCACTTTAAGCAAGTCAACACATAGAATGCAGTCCTGTAGGATTAGCCCTATTGTATCATCCTTGTTTTTTTTTAGCAAATAGTGCTTCTACATACCTTCTTTATTTACGCTTTATGGTGGTCACGTGACCAACGATACCCTGCTAGGGCTCCTGTCTTTTAGGAAGAAGAATGGTCTCTACTCTACCTCACGTCCGTACGACTCTCAATTTCTTCCGACAACATGGTAACATATGAGCGTGCGCTATCTCTCTCGCTCTCTCATGAATGAGCTCTCACTGAATGCTTCACCCTAAAATGCCTCTATAGTGGACATGAGGGTATGATGACATCACCGCAAACACAAACGGGGAGAGACACAGATCGGAGGGCTGACAACGCTCTGCTACCACTGGCAAATTTACAGTGTTGTCGGCCCTCTGATGTTGGTCTTCCCAGAAACAGAAAAGAAGGGGATAACTACAGCACTGAGAGGATCAGCTCAATACTTGGAATTGATGGGGCTATTAATAACAGCAGGTTTATACATTGTGTAATACAAGCATGATCTTTATTTCAGTACATTTTGCCTAAGTAACCTAAAATCATTGGAAATAGTTGCATCACTCAGCAGACATTATGAAGATGGATTTCCTCTCAATCCAACCTGTGATTTCATTTAAATGTGAGAAGCCTGCTCTAGACACATCCGATTTAGTAAACTGATTTGACTTGGTCAGATAGTTCCATCTGCTCTTCTATACAAGGCTACCTACGGACTTGGTGCCAACTTCTCAGTCTGGTAATTCTATATTTGTTCCCAGATAAATTTTTCTGGAAATAAATATTCTGAATTGAGAAAGCCGGTCGGGTGACCAGTGAAACGTCTTCAAGAAAAATACAGCGAGTCCAGTTGCCTTGACTTTTTTTACAGATACTCCTTGAAGGATGAATATATCATAGGTCTGGATGGCCGACCACTGTTGTGGACAACTGGCTTTCAGAGAGCTCAGAATACCGATCCCTATTGCTACAACCCGACACGCCACCCTAGTTTAGCTGATGGCAGCTTCCTGTTCTCTTTTTCAACTCCCTTCCTTCTTCAATGAAGCTTAGTTGAAAGCCCGGCTGGCAGACAGGTACATATGAAAAGAAGGAGGTGTATGGTTGATTTTGTGTGGACCAATCCTTAATACAGAAACAATTGAACATAAAATCTATAAGATTGAGAGACAGTCACCTGGCACTTTGTACGGGATAATGTCTGACAGGTATCCGGCATCCTGGGCTTTCTTGGCCAGAGTATGCGAGCGCAGAGCGTACTCATCCTGTTCCACCCGAGACACGGAGAAAGCCGCGGCCAGTCTGTCTGCCGAGTGCCCCATCGTCTCGCTTGTAGAGAACTCTGCAACGGCTGGAAGCTAAATTAGAGGTAAGAGGTTTCATAAATGGACATAAATCATCATAACAGATATTTTAGCTAGAAAAATAAAAATAAAAAAACATTCAAAGTTCTCGTCCAAATTTTATTTAAACAAAAAACAAAAGTGTTCCCTCTTCTTACTTCTGGAGCAAAGTAATCAGGACGGATTCTGGACGCCAAAGCAAGCTTCTGGCCGATGGTCTTGGCTTTGTTAAGACTCAGCATGGCCTTCCTCATCTTCCTGCTATGACGAATAGGGACGTCGGACATGAACTCCACACCGCCGGCCACCACCACATCGCATTGCCCTGATGCAATCAGTCCGACCCCTGACAATTGGGGAGAAACAGACTATGTGAGGCCACTCGAGAGAACAATGAATGTTTAAACATCTGGGATTGGAAACATTTGTCAAAGGGAGGCAGCCAATCACATCAGTACATCTATGCCTACAGAGTCATTGGAAAGGGAAAGGTCTGATGCACACAGTACGGAATGCCACATGTCAGAACCAGGGAGGTGACACAAATCAGTGCCCACAGGATGCCACACGTCATAACCGGGGGGGGGTGACACAAATCAGTGCCCACAGCATGCCACACGTCATAACCGGGGGGGGTGACACAAATCAGTGCCCACAGGATGCCACATGTCAGAACCAGGAGGTGACACAAATCAGTGCCCACAGGATGCCACACGTCAGAACGAGGGGTGACACAAATCAGTGCCCACAGGACGCCACATGTCATAACCAGGGGGGGTGACACAAATCAGTGCCCACAGGACGCCACATGTCATAACCAGGGGGGGTGACACAAATCAGTGCCCACAGGATGCCACACGTCAGAACCAGGGGTGACACAAATCAGTGCCCACAGGACGCCACATGTCATAAC